CATATGTTTTGCTACCGACTGATATGAATAAATGACCTTACAGACAACTCGCTAAATCTTTTACAACACTATATAAGTGTACAGTTTTGAATCGAAGCTGAGAAAAGCTACTAATGGATAATATTACACTAGTCATATAACTGTCCCGACAAAAAATACTTTGCATTGTTTTATCTGATAAAAGGAGCAATCGAATATCTTTGCACCTAGTCATAGTTTTTAACCATCAAACCGATCGGCTGGTGATTAAACAGAGTATTTACTAAATAAAGACTGTATTTAAATAATATCAGTGCTAAATAAGTGTTCAACTGACTAGTTGCTTATGTATTATATTTTTCCCTTCCTTTTTCTTTCTTTCTCACTACTTAATTTTTCTTCATCGTGTGTATTTAGTTTTAGAAAGAATATTTTAATTCCTTTGAGAACACTTTGTGGTGATATACTGACTTGTCAGTCTATGGCTAAAATAAAAATAGAAATCGGTTAGTATAGCTGAATGTAACGAAATTGTAAATACCAGTAATGTATGTGCCTTAATGACAGAACGCTAATTCACGTGATTTTATTGAAGTAAAAGCATCCATCGTGTTTTAGAGGAGCTAAATAAAAGATAGCATGATAGAGATGAAGAATTAATGAATGCAGATAATACTTTAAGAACAGAAATCCTGGATCGATTCAAATTAATTAAAATAAATGTATAAGTGAAAAGACAATTTTTATAGTAAAATGTTTTGAGTAACTCTAAAGTATACTGACCCAAAAAGAAACTACCTAATAAATGGATGCAATAAGCTTGAGCAACCATTGAGGTTAGTACGCAGTAAATAGGCGGAATTACGGATGCCATACATGAATTACTTGGCAGGTTTCATTCAAATGTAGTATTTAAGTACTGTTTGGATAACACGCCAATGTAAAGAGAGGCGAAGTGTATATGTGAAGGAGTAACGTATTTACAGATATAGATACGATCTATTGATGGTTTTGTGAGCATACGCCCAGACTGTCGTTCACTTTTGTTGATCCTTTCGATAGGACTCACACAAGTTCCACTGAGAGTTTATAGTCATTTAAAAAAGAGGGTAGAGCAGAGAATGGAGCAAAAAACAATGATGGACGAATATATGTGTATAAACTGGTTTGACTTATCTATGAGGACTCCAATGGGAATTTGTGAGATCTTCTTGCAATACATACACGATAGTTACCCTATTTAACTATTTTTTAACATTACATTGCTCCTCTAGGATCATTTTTTAAATTGCACGCCTTTATTTCGAATTCACGTGGCTGGTCGACAATGGTTTCGCAAGGTCTCTGTTAGGTAGTTTCGTTTTGGTCGTTATACTTTAGGGTTGGAACTTTTTCTTAGCAGCAACAGGAGTGTTCTCAAAGATGTCATTAAAACTGTGGGTTATAGATGAAAATCACATAGGAGGAAAGCGTTAATCTGATAGAAACTAAAACAAAAATAAAATAAACAAACTGCATGATGTAATGTAGCTAACGTGATTGAGCAGAACGCGACTAAAATCAAACAGAAATCCAGCTGAGATCAGTAGAAATGACACTAATCTTAACTTGACTCTCATTTTTACTAAGGTGTCTTAAATCCTGTCAACTGTATTGCGTCATTCAACTTGCTTATTTAATTGTATTTTGGTTTCTACCCTATTAATGCTTTTTGTATTACCTAGTTATTATCCAGAACTCTCTCCATACACAGCTACCAAGTTTAGCGAACTGTAAAATGTATGCTAATATATGTGTAAAACTTGGGGACTGTGGTGGACACAAAACTAATAACCTTAGTAGGATGTATGGTGTTGTTAAAGTTCATAAGTCTGGATACCCTATTAGACCTATAGTTGATTTTAGAAATTCACCTACTTATGAATTATCTAAATATTTAGCCATGGTATTAAATCTCCTTAAAAGCCACTCGAAATCTAGACTAACTAATTCTTAATTTAAAATTAGATAATGAAAAGAAAATGGTTAGTTTTGATATTGTCACTTTGTATACACATATACCAATAAATATGGCTATAGAGGCAGTCAGAAACGAACTCATTTCTGACCAAGAACTCGAACTCGAACGGACAAAAGTGTCACTTAAGGACATAATGCGGGGAGTACAGCTATGCCTGACTTCCTCAATATTTAAATTCCAAGGGAAAATATACAAACAAACTGAGGGAGTTTCCATGGGATCACCAATATCCCGGTTGTAGCAGATATATTCATGGATAGGTGGGAAAACATAGCGATTGAAACGTTCACCACCACCCGAAAAGTATAGTGGAGGTATGTAGATGACACATTCACTGTACTTAGAACACAGGATATATATAGATTTTTCGAACACATTAACCCAAAGGTGGAGGCAATTGAATTCACTTGTGAGTTGGAAAGTCAGGAAGAGGAGCTTCGAATGTTAGATTGCAGCGTAAAAAGGAAGTAAGATGGGAAGTTAAACACTAGTGTTTACAGGAAACCTACACATTCGAACAGATATTTGTACTTCCCATCATCTCATCCTACGTCAGTAAAAGTAGGATTGGTGAAGTGTTTAAGTGACAGACCACAAATACTAAGTAGATTGATAACAGAAGCTTTGTTTATCGAATCAACTGCAAATACATGTAATAGGAATGATTCATCACCTGTCTCAGATATCTGGAAAATTCTACTACCGCAACGACGACAAATAGGAGAGGACAAAGGAAACTATAAAACTCAAGTTTCGAAGTCGTGTGATTATAATTGATATGATTATGAACAATAAATTTTGTTCGAAACGTCATCCAGTAAATAATACTGTTTCACTGTGTGGTATATCTAATAAACAAACTAATATGTAGAATATATGCTTTAATTAATTCCTGAATTATCATAAAGTCAGAATAAATTCAACAATTTAATTAGAAGGAGGGAAAATGCCAGCAACTGTTTCGGAGCTATGACAAGTATTCGCAAATGAGGTTGCAATACTCTTAGCAGTATTACAACAAAATTACTTTTAGCGCCTTAAGTATATATGCTCATATGATTCAATAACCAAGTGTTAGTTTGTATGAATAAATATCGAATTGATATTGATTAACACCTACTTTTATTTTCTTTGGTCTGTTAACCTGAAAATGATTCTTTATGGATAAGAGAAGCCTACTAAAGTTTACAGGCAGCTTTCTTATCAAGCTTCTACGACGCTTAACTGGTAAAATATCTTCAAAACGGATTTAACTTTGATAAATTCAATGATATTATATCATTTTGCATTAAATATTAATTTTCTAGGGAAAAAAGTAATTTTACAGGGAAACTTCAAAAACTGGAGTAATTGATGCTTTACTAGTATGTTTAGTTTGAAGCTCTTTCCCGCAGAGATGAATGATATCTCATAAATTTATTACTGTGTATGAGACTAAATTTCTTGTGCGAACTAGCCTGCTACAAGTTGTTGGCCAGAACCTGCAGGAAAATTAGAAAATATCTAAAATTTCTAAAGGAAGAAGTGAAATTGGTGTGCGCGGCAGCTGTACAATGTACAGTTCCAGTCTCATTTGCAGTCACGCCTTCTTTGTATCTTGTTAACTGACTCAGTGACAATGCTGTTCAGGTCAAAGCCGAAGTTTTCTAAGACTGATATATGTTCACTGGTGGTCAGTTGCCGAATGTTAGTCAGTTTCTATTGTCACAATCTACCAATCCAGTCTGAAGTTAGGTCACTTAGCCAAATGATAAGACAGTTCTTTGCTGTGTGTGCATTCTTCTTTTGATACTAGATGAAATCTGTCTAAGTAATTTTTCCCTCTATCCTAAGTGAATGATGACCACCGAACAGATTGAAAATTGATGTGACTGACTGACAACTTGAGTTGTAAAAAAAAATCTGAAAATTCGTAGGAGTCACTGTCGTAACACTTAAAATTGCTTTCCGTCATAAAATGACTCTTAATGCTCATCAGCGCAACAGAAAGCGAAAGGAAGTACCTTTATTACCACGTCTATTTTTCATATACTGTAAACGGTGTGTGTAATTTCATACCAGTGTTTGATGAAAATGTTCAAATGAAAGTCATGGTAATCTGTCACTTAGTGGGAAAATCTGTATATAATATTCAATAATGTGCGTAGGTGAACAACTGCATAGCATTTACCAGCATGTTCAGAACAAAATAAAATAAAACGACGTTAATGTTGGTTACAGTTATGAATTAATATTGTGTCAATTTAAGTTTTCGTTTATCTACATCCATAATGAAAAACAAAAATATATGTTACTCTAGAAGATGCAGGCTATCGGGATAAATTAGGCATGAGCATGAGTGATACAGATCTATTTTGTGTAATAATCAATACTTACTCTGCATTAACTAACATCACACCATCACATGTGTTTAAGCTTTTGGGGTTCACTCGTATATGTTACCCTCCGCAGTCAGTTTTTATTTATATGTAGACATATATGTATATATGTAGAACTTTGGTCCTATCAAAGTCGATCTTGTGACCCATTTCTGTCTAATAACAAAATAGGATTTTTTCCCCATAGATTTCGTTTTATGGAAAACTCTTCTGCAGTTTGTAAACAAGTTTCAGAAGTGAAAAATTCTGGATTATAAGAGTGCTTCAAATTTTCTCCAACTTGCAATATGCTGCTGTCTATGGTTAATTGTGAACTCAGTCCTCAAAAGTTGAAGAAAGTTTACTGAAAGCGTTACTAAATTTCGCACCTGTGACATATCAGAATAAAACTAAAATAGCCGTGCTTTGTACCTTTCACCTTGATTTCCAACCACTCAGCTGCAGTTAGATGAACTTAAAAACCACAACTTTTTCATTAGAACTTGAGTCTAATCCAGTGGTTATTTCACGCACTAAAAATATTTCGTAGTCAGTATTTTTTTTTGCAAAGAAAAACACTATTATTTTTTACATATTACATATACAGTCGTTTTTTTTTCTTTTTGTGTTTTTGTTAATTCAAGGCACTGGACAGGACATGATGCGAAATTTTTGTATATGTTGTTTGAATATGTCTGCGGCGGAGAACTGTTTAAATATCTTCGAGAAGTTGGACATTTCTCATCACAAACTACAAAATTTTATACGAGCGAAATTATTTTAGCGCTTAGATATTTGCACAGGTAAGCAAATTTCTGTTTGCTTAAATCAAAGCTATCAGTAGCGATATTTTTTTGTGTTGCATGATTACACTATCAAATAGGAAAGCAAACTACCATGGGATTATCAGTGAACTAACCAATATATCCTTGATAAGGAAAACAAAGCTGAAAACCTCTATTCATTTCATGATCTGAATGACGCAAAGATAAAGCCTAGCCAGAAACCAGCGAAAATACTTATTTGCTTAATTTGTGTTTTCGGTAATCTTTGTTTGTCTAAAATAAACTCAAAGCTTTTGATAGTGATTTCCTTTTACTTGTCCTGATATAATCCACGTTGTTGCCGACAGCAGTACTATTTCTAATTGCTCAGTAATTATCGTTGCAAGCCTCACTACAGTTTTGTTGGTTCGTTAAGGAAAATATCCCATCAAATAAATTAAATTACTACCTTGAAGTCAGGCATTTCATTGGAATTTTATCAGAGGATAACTAGAATATTCAAGTATGCAGTTTCTTTTTAGGTTGTAAAGTGAATTGCATTCACGAAGGCGAAAAAGGGAACTAAGATGAATAAGTACTGCTTGAGTGATACCTAAATCTCATCATCTTTACCATAGGGTAGAAGAGTTCACTATTAATACTTTAAGGATGTTTCTAGAGTGTCTGTATTGTATATGGGATATGTTTTGATGACTTGTTTGTATGATCTTAGATTGATATCTTAAACTGCTGTCCACAGGATTGATTGAAAGCATTAGTTTTACAAGAGGAACAAACTCGGGATGGCAAAATCAGTTGACGAATAATCACCAAACGATAAACTAAGCCAGGCAGAATGTAATTTTGTTTGTAATGAATCATATCACTTCATATAAAAATATAAGTAGCACAATTTCTCAGATCTTCAGTTACAGGACTCTTGTGTCAGTACGGTTTCATCTACCGTTGAAACAAGTCGGAACCGAACCGTTAATGATTAATTTTTTTAAAACAGTAATGACATGCTTTACTTGCTAGTTACAATCAGCCTTATATGCAATAATTCAGTAGGTTAAACTTTTGTCAACTTGAACGTTTTAGACTTAAAAAAAATGTTTTAAGTGGAATTATGAAAAGACTATTTTCAATGTACCTTGTACTGAATTTCTCAATATTTTCCTAACTAGTTAACGCGATGAATTTGTATACTTAAGCTATGACTAGCACGTGATTTTTGTCGACCATCTTTATCCTCATATAATCATGCTTTGAGTGAGTGCTTAGACGAAATAGGCGAGAGACTAATTGCATGAATTCGTTATAACACTACACTCACTTAAGCTTTTCAAACAAAAAGCAATTACTTTCCAATAATAAAAATACAGTAATATTAAACACGCTTTTAGGTTGGTGCATTATTCTCTCTTGCGTTTCTCATCAAACTGACTGAGTAGTTAGAATTTTACATTAGACTGAAAATGTGATTATAAGCAGAAGCTGTTTTACCCTTTGCATAAAAATTTTATTAAATGTCTGTCTTTATCCTCATTATTTCTCAAACAGTATTAAATTATAAAACTCAGGCATTAGAAATCAAGAAGGTTCTGACATAAATTCTAAATCTCTGGAAATCAAGATGAATTCAACGCATGTTCAGTTTTTCTCTGTGATTCATTAGAAATTCCTATTTAGAATACAGTTTTATAGGATTAAAGAGGCTCATAGTCGATTGATAAGCACTTTATATTTCAACTCTCATGTCTCAATCCTATATATCATATCCATATCATTTAGGAGAATAAGGTATCACTGTTACATGATGAGTATGTTTTCAAACAGGTCATTGTACAACTGCATGAAAACCAATCTTGACGTCGGTTGCTAATGTCTACTACATTGTGTTTATTCGATGGTTAGATTCCCAAAAGACTAATTATTCCTAAAGTCACTTTTTATTTTTAACTGATAGAGTTTAGAAAGCGAATTGTGTTAAGTTCCACTTCGGTGGATGAATAGCGGCGTACTCGTCACATGGTCTCCCGATTATGTCGGGCGATGGATCAGTAGTTTTGGAGAACCGTAATGAAAGGCGAGAGGCCCTCCAATAACATAATTTTTCGCTTTTTTCTCATTAGCTGCGTCATTAACCTAAAAATTGATTTAAGATTCAATAGTAAGTACTCTTGGCCAACCAGAACTTCCTTTTTTATACATTCATTTTCTTGAAGATAATTTATGGTTTTTTGGATTTGTCTCAGTTTTCCTTTTTTTGAAACAAGGACACTATACTAATATTCTCACAGCTGTAAAAACCAATTTGTCTCTTCGATTGATGACATGTAATAGTCAGCAACATTTTGATGAAATTACTAACTGGCAGATTTCGTGAACAGTACTTAATTTGAAATTTAAATGTAATTTAACCAATGAAAGCAGAAATATTGTACCTACTGATCATCTATTCTAACAGGTAACTAGAATAAAACAAGGAAATAGAAATGACTCAACTAGATGACCTAAACCCTCTAGGAATCCGAATAATCCTATGATGTAATGTGGATTTCATTATTTTCACTTTGATTTTCAAAAGTATTTCATCTTCATATAACATAATGTCCTTTATACATTGGAAAATTGTCAAATAAACAACAAATAATCACTTCTTGCATAACTTAAAGACTTACCAGTAGTTTCCTCAACTGTCTATCTGATACTTTTACTCAGAAATAATCATTCTGGACAAAAAGCTCAATTCAATTTAGCGGTCTTTCGATTGTCTTTAACAGTTGTTTGAAGTCATTAAACTTAAACATATCCGTGTTAAAAGGATAACTAAAGTGCCTTCTGAACAGAACCTTTTTGATAAAGAAACATAAACCAGGAAATGTGTAAATCTGAACAGATTTGTTCACCTTACGCTTACACAAGCGTAAAATTCTTTTGAAAACCGATAAGGCTCTGAAATGGTGAGTACTACAATGGAAAAGTCTACTAAAGGTTGTGCATTACAAGAAAACTATTCTGTATTAAGACTATGTGAATTTATTATATCTGGACTATAAAATCAGGATTTACAAATTTGTTCCATTATTTTCCTTTTTTGTTTGCCAAGTTTACAAATTGTTTATCGAGATCTAAAACCAGAAAATCTTCTTCTGGATTCTTCTGGCCATTTGAAGATGACTGATTTTGGGTTCGCGAAGCATGTCAAGGACCGGTAAGTTGTTGTTTATGTCAAGTGAATAGAAAGAATACGCACTGTGTAAACATATCATGAAGGCAACTAGGGATAGTTTTTAGAATAATGAATAGATTTCATTTAAATTTACCTGTTGTTGATTTGTGACTTCCGGCAAGTACTTTTTTAACTGTGAAAAAGCTTGTAAATAATCTATCTGGATGCTACAGTGCAATTTGGTAACCATCCAAAAATTATGAAATTCTTGATGAATTTCCGTGAAATACATTCACTCTGGTTATTCACTATGTAGAAGTTGATCACTCAATCAAATAAGCAAGCATATCATACAACTTGACCGTAAAATGTAATAATTTCTATTACTAATCAAATCCAGATGAGAGTATCTATCATCAGTTTTCCGCGTGCTTCGTGGTGTTAGTCCTCTAAAAGTAAATCAGAGATAGTTTTCGTTTACCTTACTATTTTACAAAGATTTATCGAATTTACTTTATAGAGAATTTTCTTCAAGAATTGTCTAAAGTAAATTTGTTTGAGCAAATAAGAACTGCCATGTCAGCTTTATAGTGGAGATATATCCAAAATCTGATATTTACCAATTTTATTAGTTTGCATCTCTACACAGCTAAAACAAATATTTAAAATTTGATGGAAATGATCCTAAGTAAAAGGAAAAATTAGTCATGAAGTGTGGAGGGAATTTTCCGTGTACCTACCTGTTCAGTAACTTTCACATGGTAATGAACTTCAAAGATTTACCTCCAGAGAAATTTGACTCCATTTAATTATTTTGTACTTCTTATATCTAACTAAAAACGACAGAAGAGCGACTGCACTTCCTAATGGAAAACGAACTTCATGATCGTATTAATCAGGCAATAAACACAATTTACTCTTTGTTTTATGTGTATAGGTAATCGTCTAATTTGTATTTGTAGTGTGATCACATTTTGAACACTGAGGTGTACTTAGTACTCTGCCTCTTAGTTATTTCACACAAATAACTTTTTTGTCTGTACAACACACTGAACTATTTACTTTTGTAAAGAACAACGGTTATCTTTCTGGTGAAAATGTGTTCTGTGAATCAAAGTATGAGGAATCGTGCAGTATTTTCTACAATTAAGACATGTCATATCATATATATATATATATATATATATATATATATATATATATATACTTCGCAATACTTTATTAATAAATGGCATCAGTCAAATAACTTTTAGTTGAGATTCACACTAGTCTTCTACTTTTAGCACGTATTCCCTATGCGGTACACCTGAATATTTGGCACCGGAAATTCTTCAGGGAAAAGGACATAATCAAGCGGCTGATTGGTGGGCTACAGGAATTATTATTTATGAAATGCTTGTTGGGTACGTTGTAATTATTTCATTCATGTTGGCGTATCTAAAATAATTATAATTAATGAATACTGATAGGTTAAAGAGATTTAACTTTAAGCCGCATTTATTCATGTGTAATATTTTTTGGATGTTAGAATGCTGAAAATGTGAGCCTTCACAGCCTTACCACTCATAGAACGCTAATGAATGAAGAACAGTTTTATATTAGAGTCAACATTTAATCTTTGTCAAAAGTCCCCATCTAGACATTCAGAAGACGAAAGGGAAAGAGTAGGGAAATATCTGCTTTCCTACTAGATCCTCATATATGACTCTGTTTAGCCTTTGGTCTATAATTTAATTAACGTGTACTTCTAATCATCAAAAAAATACGTGCATGAAGGTAATAAAGTTTCTAGAATGACACTAATGTGCGATTCAAAAACACTGTCACATATAAGGATGAATAATACCCAAGCTGGCAAGCAATGTACGTTTTAGGTTAAATGGATCTATCAATGTCTGTGATTTGGTTTAACAATGTATCCGCAAGGTTATGTTGTAACACGGTTCTGCAGTGTTTCATTTTATATTAAAAATGACAATACCAGGGAGGGATTCTGATATAAAACAAATCACCGCTAGCCGGTGTCACTGAAAATTGTCACTATATTCAGTACTGAAGGGCTTCTTGATATAAGCTGGTAAGTATATAAGCTCTGTAAGTATCTCTCACTTCCGATAAAAATTTGTGTTAATTTATAGCCGTCTTCATTAATCCTTTGCTTTTCTCATTTACTTTTTTAATATGTAATCGCCTTCTCCAATTCTTCCGATTATGATAAAAAAAAATTATTATGATGTATTCACATCATAGTCGTCCACCGTTCTATGATGAGGATGATAACCGATTGCACATATATCAGAAAATAATAACTGGTGACTTTGAGTTTCCCAATGAAATAGATGATGAAGATGCTAAGTAAGTCAAAATTATTTCACGTTAGCTTTCTTTTTGAGGTAGATTAAGCCAGAAAATGAAGACTTTTATGAAACGAATATAGATCAACAAGAACTAGTTAGCTATGTGTTTCTGGTTACGGACCCCAGAGCGAAGTCTGAACCCGCGACTTTTAAAATGATAAACTTCTGAACTGTTGTCACACTTTGAGCTTAAGATGCAACAGGATAGAAAAAAAATAGTGTTTCATAATCTCATGCCTTTGCCAACCTAAGATGATTTAATGGTGTGACGAAACAAATACACACCGTTTGTTTTCTTTTATTTGTTACTCAAGCGATTTCAGTTCTTGATAAAATTCTTGATGCATTCTGCAGAATCAAGTTATTTAAGCACTGATTCCAGTTGATTGTTGTATACGGCTATAGAATAGCTCTATAATCTATCATCCAGAATAATAAGTTTTATAAATAATAATGTGTCAGTCAGATAAATCATCAGCTACATTTCGTCATGTTGATAGAGTATTTTAACAGAATTTCGCTGATGTGCTGGCCTCCGTATAATACACCGGTGTAAGATGTGTCATGATAAGACTTAAAACAATCGAGTAAAATAACTTAGGAATACGAATCATACATGAAGATAATTAATTTACTAATAAGTGTGAGATTTAACGAGTAACAGAGAAATAATGGTCATTGATCACATGTGTACATCAAAATAAGCGAGGGAAAGTAATCTTGTACTTCAAGGTAGCGTGGCATGTAAACATTAAGTGTTTAGAACAGAAAATGTTATGAAGTGAACGAAATCCAACATCAATTGGACAATCTGTGTTAGTAATCAATCACATAATTGAAATCGATCTATTAAACTAAAGAAAGTGAAAAAAATAGATGACATTGGAAGTCTAACTAAAAACAAATTAAACAAAAAATGTTCAGATTGTGATTACAAGCAGAGAAAATGAACACCAGAGACAAAATACTCTTTAGGGAAAATCTTAGCCTCTGTGGGAGGTTATTTGAGATTAACTTTTGACTGTATTATTTTTAAATCCAAAGCTCTGATACGAAGATCCACATAACCTTTTAGCTAGAGATACGTGAATTTTCAAGAGTTTGGAAAGTGAGACAACCCAGTGGATTAGGAATACTTTTCTTTCTGAAAAAACGTCGTAATCTAATAACACACAAATATTTGAAATGACAGCCCTAGACTGTCTTCTTAATGGCTTATCAAATATTTACTCAGAGATGTATGTCACTAAATCGATTCAGTGTTTCTGTAAATATGAAGGCAAGGAATGACATTCTGCTGGCCTACTAATTTATGCATTTTAATCCAATGAGTATTGGTGTACACTTCATAATCTTTTCGTTTATCTTACAAACTAAATTTCCTTTGTTTTTTTTTCCGGATTATTTTCACTAATGAATTATAGAGATATCGTCAGAGGATTTCTACGCATAGATTTTAACGAAAGACTGGGTGGCTCTAAAGTAAGCAGCACACTATTCATGATACAAAGAAAATTTCATTTACTGTGATGATATTTTACCTACCTTAGAAACAGATAATCGGTCCTCATTTTTACGTTGCATCTTGTTTACTGTTTGAGTTTTGGTGTACAGAATTTATATTTTTTCAGCATATAGCTTTTCAAATGGCTTTCCATATTTGTAGTAAAACAAATAAGTGAATCTTCCCTTGGATTTCTCAGCTGAAATATAACTGTTTTTAAAACATTACCGAAAGATGTCTTAAAAGCCATTCAAACAGACTGATAATAATCCTATAATTATTTTTAAAAGGCAGTGAGATTTAAATAACTTCTATGTAATAAAGGTTTTCTTGTATTTCGCAATGAATGAAAAACAATCTCGTTTTGTTTTTTCATTCATTGGGAAATACAAGAAAACCTTTATTATAATGAATATCATATACCCAATGCCCAGATTTTTTCTAACTTCTATGTACTTCAGTTAATCATAATCATTAAGAACTCGTAAATACTCTACGAGTTAAAAGGGTGGTTAAAACCAGTCGAATTCCTTCAAATGGAAATGTGGAAGTAAAAAAAAAGTATTATACAGAAGTAAACTGAAAGTTTTCATTATGGCTACTATTATAAGTTATCAAAACTCAATGGCTAAATGACTCGAAATGTTTAATTCTGAATTCTACTAGATTATGATTTCATTACACTCAGTATAGAGATTTTACTGGAAGGTATTAATGCACATCAGTAACTATCAAGATATTCTGCGATAATACTGTTTATAACATTCAGTGACAGTAGTGCCTTGTTGCTGAAATAATTGTAAACAAGATAAACCAGAAGGATAAAATCTTGTAAATTTTATATATTTTTTCCTTCGGTTTTCATTTGTTGATATTATGGAAGAGATTTGTAACTCAGGGCACTGAAAAAGCTTTGCAAATTAACTATCCAACTCAGAGAACACAACCACATCAAAATTTGTTGATATTATTCCGTTGTCTGGACGCATCGGATTTAACTGGTTAAATGTTATATAACAGAGTATTTTCAATGTTTAATTTAATTAAAATCCTGATTTTTTTACTTATGCTCATTAACCGGTGCATTGCTAATCAGTTAATTAACTCAGTGGTAGAGCACGTTGACCGCTTCACTTATTTGGGAAGTACCATCAGCCCCAACGGGCTGATCTCTGACGAAATCTCAGCACGAATACAAGGGGCTCGTTTCGCATTTGTTAGTTTACGCCGACTCTGGCGTAGACGAGATGTTCGACTATCGACCAAAGGGCGGGTGTACTGCTCATCAGTCCGCTCCGTCCTCCTGTATGGTTGTGAGACCTGGTCACTGAGAGTGGAAGACATGAAAAGACTAGCTAGCTGTCTTTGATCATAAGTGCCTGCGTTCTGTTTCCCGTGTAAAGTGGCATAATAAGGTGAGCAATATTGAGGTTAGGCGTAGAGTTCTAGGTAAACAGGGGAAATCAATCGACGAAGTCGTGAAGCTACAAAGACTGAGATGGTTAGGACATGTGTTACGTATGCCAAGCCATCGCCTCCCTCGACGAGCAATGTTAGCGGATATAGGGTCAGGCTGGAAAAAAGGTAGCGGCGGTCAAACAAAAACTTGGCATCAGTCAATGAAATCCACAACAGTTGGTCTAAACCACGTAGAAAGGTGTAAGACTTCCAGGCTGGGGTCCTCGGGACGGTGACATGGCTCAAAATCGTTCTCAGTGGCGCAGATGCATCCACTCCCTGTGACTTATGATCTTCAATGAAACTGTTTTGTATTTCTTGATTACTCCTTTGTCTCACACCTCTGCTCACTGTTTCTATTATGCTTTTCTTGTACTTTCTTCTCTTGCTTCGCGTGCTACACGGAATGTGGCGACTTGAACTTCCGCACATTTGTGCAAAGTTCTATGTCGAAAACAGACAGACAGACAGTCTTATCATGAAGACAGTTTTTTAATACAACTCCCCGCATTCTTATAGAAAACTAAAATCCTCATTTATCGTATCGAACTGAGGTTGGAATGAACTTAGAACTAGGTTAATACTCACGTTATATGAATTAACTTTAAGGCATCACATAGTTTGTAAACCAGGGAGTACAGGTAATATGTTTCAATATAAAAATAGTGGATAGGTGAACAACTAAAAAAGTGTCTTTTACCAGCTTATCAGTTAGATACATTACTAATCGTCGTTTTGAATTAGCTAATGTAATTTAGCACTCTTGAGTAATCACATAAAACTAACCACATAATAGCACTATTCACTGCCTTCTTTGTATTTATTATTTTTACAGAACGATATCCATGAGATATTAAACCATCCTTGGTTTTCTGATATTTCCTGGAATGATGTTTTGCACAAAAAATTAAAGGTAAATAAAGCACTATTTTAGTAATCATTTTGCATATTTATTGGACTGCATTTTGTTTTTAATGCTGATTTGATAAACTCACAAGTGACTGACCCGGATGTTAGAGAATGTAACTGTGTGTTGACGGTGTGAAGACAAAGGTACTACGCCTGCTGACGTAGTTTTCTATCTCAATGTTTGTAGGCGATTTGGTTTTACACTAACTTCTAAAAGAAATTTTACTGAAAAGCTTTTTTCCATCTTTCTATCGTTTGGCAAAACTACTTGTTAGCCATTCCTAAATATCCGTTCCCAAATTTGAACTGCTCCTTGAATTCACGTAGAAAATGGCCGTATTCAGGTCATATATACTACAGCTGACTGCTAACGACTGTGAGCAGAATAACTTACATTTTTTTGTTTGTAAGTAAATGCTTTCATGTTAACATTCGAAAAATCATCGTCCCACTCTCAAAAAAGCCTAACTTTAATAGCCAATGTTAACTGTTATGACTTCAGGGTGAACTGATGTGTGTGTGTGAGCTGGTGTCAACTGATGATGAAATCTTCTATGCAATCAAACAAAATCCCTACAAAACTATTACTTGAAAATAGTGTTTAATTATCACAAAAGTGTTGGAACAGCCTCCAAAGTACCGTTCGACATCTCTTCAGTCAAACTAGTAGTTGAAATCAGCTCAGTCATGGTTTAAATTACACGTATCCGCTACTTAGAAAAACAGAAGTGAAATAGGATTACAGTGTACTACTAGCTGATTATTATTATTCTAACAAACTTGTAACAATGCATTTGGACAAAATAGAACAAATACCCATAGTTATGTACAGCCAGTGTTATGCTTACACATACTGATAAATACTTGATACTTTGAGGTTATCTTTATTTACCCCATGATATTTGTTACTGTTTTCTCTTTTACTGATTGAACTGTGAAAACAAGTCTGTACTGTCAAAAAAAAATAATAATTAATTCTCATTTACCACTCATTTGTGTATGAAAACTTGGTCAGTCAGTATAATTTACTTTATCACAGAAGTATACAAAATAAAAACAAAAGACCTTAACATTCGTTGAATTCAGATAACAGGTTATATAGTTTTCAAAACAATAATGCTTTATTGTAAGCTGCTTAAAGGTGAACTATTAAAAATTATCAGTTGTGCACATATGTCAGTATATCTGGGCTGTTTAAAAAATAACAGCTGTAAATTCCTTCCTTTCTTGCTACAAATTACTTGGTCTAATGGATGTATCATTTTATTTCTCTACTTCTAGTTAATCGCTATATTCCAAGAATATAACTAAGCTTGCATTATTATTATTATTATTACTATTATTACTGTTACTGGGATGCGTGATGCAAGTTTTAGTATAAATGACATAGTTTGATGAAATGGTATTAAAAAAAACTAGGTCTTGTTAAGTAATTATCCCAACCTTAATAAAATGAAAATGTCTGCTTGTCTGAAGTGTTTTGCGAGACATTACTAGACAGCAAGGCGAAAGGCTAGTCTGTCAAATATGTATTATGATACTGTTCTCAGTAGTAGATACCTTATGTGTTTCAATAGTGCTTATTTTATTAGCCTATGAAGTCCATTTACCACATGAAAGTAAATTCCTTTTTGAGTTTACCATACCAACAGTGGGGTGAATTGATCGACGATTAAAAGTCAAATTTTTTGTACACTACTACTTGAACTGCAATAAGTTATGAGTACGAAGGAATACAAAGCTCAAAGCAGAGGATGATTTGTATTTCCCGTTGATTGATTATGTTAGACAGGAAATGTCTGAATTCTGATAACATGTTGACTCCTCGTACGCTTGCTTCGATGATGTCTGTCCAATATAAAGAAGAAATATAAAATTTGACTTAAAACAAACAATAACTGATACTCGTCTTACAAGAGACAGGTTTCTTGACCCAAGTAGTCTAGTGGGTAGCGCTTCGCTTTGCAAAGTGACAGCTGCTGGGTTTAAGTCTCGATGAGAACACAATAACTCACTGAGAATTGCAAGTAAATCCAAGCCACAAGTCTCAAAATGGGCGAAACGCGCATTCTCGACTCCACTTCTGGTCACCATTCACCAAGTGGTGTTCTCTTTAACTGGCTATTTTGCCATTTATGTTTGCTGAAAAAACTTATCATACACATTGAATGATGTTATGATGATCCTGTTACCATTTACGTTAGCACCAGGTAAGATAAATGTAGTTTAGGTATTCTTCCAGTTAGGCTTAGCAAAATGGCTCTTTTTTTGTCTTTCTAGTCAACATCTTTATCGCTTACTTCGTTGTGAAGTAAAAAAAAAAGAAACGCTGTGGGTTATATCAGTTAACGTCCAATACCTTTAATTGAATTTGAGATTTTCCCGTCGATTGATTAGACCGAAGTGCTCGGTCTCAGGTTGACATGTCGGCTTCTTGTACAGATGCTTCGACGATGTCTGGGCATTTAATTAGAATTTAATCTGTGGATGGTGACTAGCAGTGGAATCCAGGATGCACATTTCATCCTATTTGGGACTTGAGGGGAAAATCTCAAATTCAATTAAATTAACATAACCCGTTGCACAAGAGGTGGCTATCGTGGCCCAAGTGGTCTAGTGGATAACTCTTTGGCCTCGGTGGGAACATCATCACTCACTGGGAAGTGCAGGTACATCCAGATGACGAGTCCCAAATAGGACGAAATGGGCATCCTGGATTCCAATGCTGGTCACCATCCACAGATTAAACGTCCAATACAGTTTGTTACAGATTTGTGTTATTCAAAACAGAATATACAATAAATACAATAAACAGATGGCAAACTTTAGTTCGGATAATTCGGTTAGGGACTAATGCAAATTTTCAAAGACTTATGTTTTCTTCCTTCAGTAATGAGACATTATACAAGGTCTTTGAGATTGTTAATTAGTGTATGATTACACTATTTGTGGTAATAAGTGACAGATTTTGATATTAACTCAAAAAAGGTCCTCTAAACGACAACACATACAATGAGCAAAACCAGTACATTATTAACGGTGAGTATTCAGTTGAGTAAAATGAAATTATTGTGTGCTGTATTAGAATTTCCAGTAGTACTTCTTTCTTTATTTTTAGGTTCCAGATATAATTACACAGCTGAAATTTAATACGTTTTCTTTTTTAATTAGTAATAGTAATAATCAGATTTTATTTCCAAAAATCGTTTCATGTTTTCTAACTAGCCTCCAATCATACCAAATGTACAAAGTGACGGTGATACACGCTGTTACGAACAATATTATGAGCAAGACTGGTCTGAAATCCCATTGTCCAGCATGGCCTCACGAAGTCTCTTCAAAGAATTCTGATGTCGTCAGATGGTTTCTAATACAAAACAGTGGGACGGAATGCTAAAGTAATATCTGTCATTTTGTTATGATTTCAAAAATTAAAGAAATATGAAGAAGTATACCAAAATATGTATCACTGTAAAACTCTTATCCTGAATAATGTGTAATCTCGTTCTTTTTCCGGAATCAGTCTTAACTTCAACATGAAACTCCTGACTTGCAGACATTTTCAAGTTAATTGTCATGCTAGTTATTAAAGTATTTTCTTACACCATATCCTGTTTTAACACAATCTGACAATATAAATATATATATATATAAAGTGATTCTCTTTATTCCTTTTTTGTCATAGACTCTAGTTTTTATTTTCCAAATTGCTTGGACAATCTCACTCAGTTGCTTTCAAATAACGTGTTTACACATTTTTTATAAAATACTTAAATCATTTTCTCGTTACAACACTACGTATTCGTCAGCGTTAGTGCATGATATTGGTTAATGTATTATATATAAAACTAGAACCTTTTATTTCTAACAAACCTTGTTCTTTCAATGATTATAAAAAGTTACAGTACACTACCTTAGTCTTTTAATACAAACCCCTGTATGTTATAATATTTGTGTGTGTGTACAGAATTATGCTTCTTCAGTTGCCCATATATATTCTTTCAAAGTATTTGAGGCAATCAAGTGAATTATTTACAAATTAATGTCTTTTTTTTTATTATCATTTAACCAATTTATTCTTGATATTTCCGGTGTCCATAAGATTTTGCACAATTTTCACATATTGAAATTGAATAAATTTATGCATTTAAGATTGAAATTGGGTTGTACATTAATTAATTTTGTCATTGTAAAAGAGAATTATAATCAAAAAATTGTTGTACCATCGCCTTTTTTAAATCATTACTGATGTGACAATAACTACAGTTTTATTTGTTTCCTTACTACGTGAATAATTGATTATAATGACATTCGATCCACGCGTTGTTCATTGTAGTAGACTAGATACAATAAGAATAACTAAAGTGCAACTGAAAGACTTGTTGTAGTGTTTGATATGAATAAATAGTTCTTACTGCATTTCCAGAGTTTTTTTTTTCACTTCTCAGTATTTCTCATTTATCCCTTCGCCATTAGAACTCAGCTCAAGAAACTTTTTTTACAGGTCAAATTAAGCGTACATTTATTCAGTTTCAACCTTCACAATCATCTGAAGTAGATGAATTCAATTTAAAAATGTTTGCTTTAATAGTCCAAAATGCTAAACTACATTTAGTTGTATCACTTATCAAACATTTTTGATAATCACATTGTTAAGTAAAGATGGACCGTTCGCATTACTGTGGTGACCAGTTTACCTTAATCCTCGTTTTCACTGACTAATAATCACCTTCCTTCTGACTGCACATTCTATGCTGTCTAAACAGTTTTAGCACGCCTTCTTTCATAGTCACCATATTATGGATAAGAAAACCTTTATGAAACATTTGAAACAAAAAGAAAGTAGACAAAACAAAGTACAGTGCCTGAAAACATTTATGTTGACAATGATGCCCCATATGAAGTAATTCACAACAGAAAGATCAGCGAAGCCTCTTAAGTGTGGGAAGTCTGCATACTATCACAGCTGATCTTCATTACTGTTATAGATTAGATAATGAGGTATAATACGGATGTCGAGAAGATGGCCACGTGTTGTTGGACTGAAAAACCATCCTAGAAGGTCTCTATTTCGTGGATGAATTGCGTTGTGTACCTCATAGACTGAAAGATTTCCAGGCGAAAATAAATAGTTTATCAGAAGGGACAGCAAAGATTCACCTTCATGTGAACAAAAAGAAAATGGAAGTGATGAAGATACCTGACCAGCAACAAACACCAATTACCTATCAATGGGACAAGCGTAAAGGAAGTTCCCTCTTTCGCTTACCACAGAAATATTATGCTAACTACAGGTGGAGCGGGTGACGGAGTCACTTCTATACTTGATTGGATAGGGAAAGCAAGACAAACAGGCTATCATTAGTCTGAATTCAGTAAAAAGATCAACAGCACCACCTAACACTGATGTCAGTTCAGTGCTTCTGTGAGATTCAGATAACTGGAGAACATGACCGTAAACATTTTCAACTGACTACAGACTTTCATCAACACCTACTTCCCTTCCCTGGATTTCTACTGAAAATCGAGCAGCCGACCAAAATAGGTAAGCAACAAGAGACCTCGGCAGTCAACGAACCAGCCAACAAATCGAGGTGTGTTTGACATACACCGGAGTGACATCACACGCTTACTCCTCGAATGAGAAGTGAAGAGTTGGTCATCGCAAGTTGGCACGAGGAAGATGAAGTGTAGAGAAAATGAAAACTTGTGCACAGTCGTGGAGTTGGCCAGTCAAAACTGATAACAGATAATCGGGTGCAGTGGAGCGTGCCACTAAACTCTAATCTTCTTCACAGAACTCAAGTAATCATTAAAAACGACAACATATCTGATATTTATATCCAAATTTATTCTGAATTTATAAAACTGTCTTAAGTTACACCTGATTAGTTGTCTTTAGTATTGTATGTAATATAATGGGAAGAATTTCAAATATCAGGAAGAGAGTGGTCTGTTTTTACATAGAAAATACTAGATGGGTTGGTTTCCAATAATGCCACTTTATAGTATGTATAGGTAGACGATAATCTGTTCGATCTTAACACTTGCTTTTAAATTGACAGATATGTATCAGTTTCCTTCTCGGAGATACTCAGCTCAATAACCATAGTTCGCGTAAACATCCCTTCTGTGTATTATTTATTATAAGAAGATTTTTACAGTCTTTATCATGTTATTATTATGCGGCTCAGTCAAGACTTCTAGAAGGAAATTAGGTGGTATTCGATATCTGATACTTTTCGAACAACAACAAGTTAAATAGGGATTAGGGAATAAGCATAGGACTCTTGAATCTCTCTATCATTTTCTATATCTCAATGAAATCGAACTCACAATTAGTCCATCTGTGGGCAGAATAATTTTTGGGTGACGATTTTATCTGGCTGTATACCCTGTGCAAATCATTTGTAGCTATTTTCACTCTCACAAACTCTTATCAGTTCAAAAATCATTAATAGTGTTGCAGATGCACTTGAATACCTTTTTTAGTAAATCAATAGTTGCCACAGTGATATACTCTAATTCACTTGACCTGTATGCATTTAACGCTTGGCTATTGCACAGATAGTTTTAGTTGGACAGCACCTATTTCTGTATAGATTTATTGTGTTCACACAGATCACAAGGGAAATTAGATATTTTGATATAAGAATAAAACTTGTGCACTGTGGTGGAGTGTAATTCCATTATGGGTAAATTTTTGTTTTGATAAAGTCTCACAGTGTTATACAGTAATGTTTACTGATGACGTTTCGAGCACAATTTATTGCTCATAATCATATGATATGATTAGATATTTCTTAACAATGTCTGTTGCGTTTCTGATAAATCCTAATAACTTTTTATTGACTATGAAATTTTATGGAGTAAAATTTAATAAATGCGACTTTGAGGTCAATTTGGAATTAGTGTTATTAATAACAACATGCGCTATCTAAGTTAAACTATCTTGGCCTAACGTGATTTATGATGTGTTTTATCTTTTTATTGAATAAAAATGAACAAAAGTTTTATACTCTCAACTTTATGAACTTTTAGTCTTCAGCTCAAAACTAGAATGAGATGATGAACAGTAGCTTATTTGGATTATTTTTATAGGGTCACATGTTTCAGATTAAACGAACAGCCATCCGGTCTGTACTTTTACTTTATCTACCAATCTTAAAATTTGTTTTATTTATAGTGATAAATATATTGTCTTTTTGTTCAGCAAGACTAAATGACACGCTATTCAGTTATACATGTGGAAAAAAGTCAATGTGCTGTTGTTTTACAGTGGAGGGGAAAAGTTCAATTTTTTGTTGTCTGATAACTTATTGTGATGTTTTCAAAAATAAACTTGCCAAACTACAATTTCAATCGAATATTTTACTTTTTGGGAGGATTTATCCATGGTAGATTTTTTGTTTAGAAATGTTGGCCTCATTATTTTGTATTTTTATATCCTAAATGTCATTTACCCATCAAGATTTGTAAAGGTCACTCATAAGTATATGCAGTAAACTAATAACGTACTGTACATAAAGCTGTAATTTTTGAAGTAATAAACGAGTTTGTTTCTCAAGATGTGGATGGAAATCGGTTTTAATCTGAGCTGTAATCTCTGATGGCATAAATGAGTCCGTCAGCTCTGATTTCACTGAGAAGTAAAAAAAATTTCAGAAGTTATATGAACAAATAAGCACTGACAAGAATCTCAAATCTAAGAAGACTTCCGAACAAGTCCAATCCGTTCCAAAGGAACTACTGCTGCTTAATCTAGAATTCAAAGGTGATATTGAAGCAGAAATCCTTCGTAAATGCCTCTCCAAATCGCCCAGGAAAACATACTTCGCCGTCAGCCTACGACTGACGTTTTCCTGCAGGAAACTGTCCAACCAGAACGCGAAAGACAAGCTGTCGCATTGGGCCACGTGCATATACCAGTTTACTTGCTCTTGTGGAGCTGAGTACATTGGCCGTACCATGCGCCGACTTGAAAAACGCGCTCATGAACACTATCCAGCCTGGTTAGTAAAAGGAGACCAAAAACGTGTATACAGTTCAGTGACAGAACATCTAGTCAATTCAGGACATTCAGCGCCTTTCGAAAATCCTTCAAAGTAATGTACAAGATTCAATCAAACCTATCAAAGGGAGTGAAATTAAGACATATGGGCCGAGGCACTAGATATCCAAAAGCTCAAACCCACGCTTTGTATCCAAAAGAAATACATCCAACCCCTGCCCCTTACATGGTCATCATAAACAGGTAATTTTTTAGTAATGACCATCCCATCGCCTTTCTTATCTAGACTTCCTGTTTATTCATGTTATATTTAAGTTTTTCTTAATCCCTGTTTACACTACAATATTTTCATATCCGAACTTCCTGTTTATTTTGTCATTTTACTATTTCTACATATTTAATCCCCGATTGCTTAAACAATTATTCATCACATTAGTTTTTTTATCCGAACATCCTGTCTATTTTTATTATTTCAACATTTCTAACCCCTAATTGCACAATGTCAACCTTCTTAGTTATTATGATGCTACTTTGTTTGAGTTTTATCCGTCCCTCCCCCTGTTTATTACTGCATTTTAATTCCTAATTTTAATTTTTATTAATTTGACCCTTTATCGGAGATTATTCTGGAACTTTCCCATCCATTTGATATAAATACAAGAATGTACAGTCTAGATGATAACTTCGTCGAAAAGAAAATTTTCTTCGCTGCAACTGTCTTCTTACTGACAACTTATCATCTGAATTCTTTTCAATTACAAATGAACGCTGAAAAGTTCACCACACTGACCTATTTGGCCTTGAATTCCAGTGGTCCAAACTATGAAGTATATTCCTTATCGTATGCTTCTAATGAAGTCATTGTACCTGATTATTGATTTATTCTGTTGACTGATTGTGTTCTCACGTACATAATGATTTCATGTCGCAAAAATGACCGGCTTCAATGAATTCTTTTCTTTCTCCACTTAAATCCTAAACTCGTATGTGCATTTGAATAATTGTCTAACTAATCATACTTTGTACTTTGTGTCGCTTTACTTATCTACATTCTGATTTATTTGTTTTACACCTCATTTCAAATTTTTCAGGCTTCCGTTTTATTTAATGACTAGTGAGTTTCATGAGGATTCACCCTAATTATTAGTCCTAAACTTCTTTAAGTTTGCAGTCCTAGTTTCCAAGTCTAGTAAACTAACAAGTGTTTAGTTTTACATTTTCATTGTAAATTTTAATCTTCTCGGCTTGATAACATTTTTATTGAAAAAAAAATTATAGAGTCAGACGTCAGACAATTATTTACTTTAGTAAACTTAAGTCCAATAGAAATGGTTTCTCATTTTCCAGAGAAAATAATAACAACAACGTGCAGTGTTTGCGTGAATCTGCCTAACTACATTCTTTTTA